TTTTATTTATAAAGGATTATACATTTATTTTCAAAAAAAATAAAATAAAATTAAGTCAATTAAGTGCTATTACTAGTATTATATTCATATATAAATTATTATTATTATTATTTAGTCCTTAAAAATCATTAGTACTTAACAGTAATTTTATCAAAAAAAAAAGCTAATTATTATTATTATTACAATTTTGATTGTATTTAATAAATTAAATAATAAAATGATTTTTTTAAAAAAAGAGTTCAAATGAAAAAATAAATAAAAGTAAAAATAATTTAAATATTTATTTCATTCAATTGGATGTATTATTATTATTAATTAATTATTAATTCATGTTAATTACATTAAATGTATTTAATTTCATATATTTATATAATTATATATATTTTTTTTAAAATTGTTTGTAAACAACATTATATATATATATGATTGACGTAAATTGACTTTCTCTGAATTTTCATAAAAATAATTTAATAATAATTATTATTTAATTTATTTAAACATTAATAGGATGTCATAATCTAAATGTTACGTAGATTTTATTATTAATATACATATATATTAATTTATTTAGTTTTTTTTACAAAAATAATAAATATCAAATTTCATCAATATTGTATCATATTTATGTTTTTTAATATTATGGGAAAAAAATTTAATACAAATTAATATTTTTTTAACAAAATTTAAATATACAAACTAAATAAAAATAATAATAACAAATTATTACATTTAAAACATGCAATATTATGTTATATAATTACAATTTGTAGTGTAATTTACAATTATTAAATAATATTTAATTATTTTATATGTGTTTAGATAGCTAATAGCTAATTTTTTTAATTTTTTTTTAATAATAAATATTATTTTTTTTTAAAAATTGTTATTAATATTAAATTATTGCCTCCAAATAGTTTGGATATAATTTAGTACTAAGTATTATATATATATATATATATATATATATATATATATATTAAATATAATATATTAAATATTTATTACTGTACTTAATAGCCATGTCTAGCAGCTATTAATTGATTATTTAGTTTTTTTTGAAAATAATAAATAATAATTTTTTAAAAAAATATAAGTGTGATTCTAGAGATTCAATAAAATAAATTATCAATAAAAACCATAAAAAAAATTATGCAATGATTTTGTTAATTTTGAAGGTCTAATAATTTTTTAAAAATATATATTTTTAATGTATTACTACTGTTATATACAATGTTAATAAATTATAAACTTTTTTTGTTTTGTTTATTGTACGCCAACACACATATTGTATAATAATAATGTTTTTTTTTGTTAATGAAATATGTGATAATTTAATAATAGTTATCATAAATTAAGTTAAATTATCATAAAAAATAAAAACAATAAAACAAATAATAATAATATTCATTGTAAATAAATTTTAATCTTAATATATTTAATAAATATATGATTTAATTATAATTAATATATATATATATTTAATTTAATCTCTCCACTAAATCAATTGGCAGCAAAAAATAACACTTTAAAAATTCATATGTAATTTAGATTAAACTATTTTATATTATGATTATAATGATGAGATAAGGGTTAACACTACTAAATCTACCCGGGTGTGTTTTTAGCTACAGGTGCTCAACAACAACAACAAAACTAATTGATAGATAATAGTCTATTATTAATAGGATCTGTTTGGTCGATGGTATGAGTAGTCTCCGGGGTATTTAGTTGACCATCACTTGTATCACTATTTTTTTTTATATATATAACTAAATTTATTTCAAAATGTTTATGTAATAAGTAGATCATATATATATATATAATTATACATTAATAAATCAAAGTCACACTATTTTAATATATATACATAAAAAAATTTCAATTGAGTATAATTTGAGATAAACCATACAATTTCAATGAACCATATGATTGAAATTATTGATAATTGATAAATTAATACACAATTAATACGAAAATTGGTTTATATTAAACTAATTAAATAGCATATATTAACATATAATTGAAAATATATTGTACATATATAGATATATATTAATTAAATATTTTTTAGCTTAAATGTATAAAAATATTTAAAAAAATAATATTATATTACTACTACTACTACTACTACTACTAAATAATAATAATAATAATCAGTATAACTTACTTAGTTATCACATATAAATATTTGATATAAATATTTAAAAATATATACTGATATTATTTATATACCAGTATATATACATTTTTGGTATTACGATTAAAAATATTTATTTTAGGAAATATTTATATATATTAAAAATCTAATCATTAAAACAAAAATTTTATCAAATATTTTACTTTCTATAACACTGTATTTCGCAATAATAATAATAATAATCACATCATAATTATCTAAAAAATTATATAATGATATATTATGACCATTAAAATTATATACATGTATATAATAAATTGATAGCCTCAAAAACTAGACAAACAGTTTTATTATATATATATTATCTAAAACTAGTATATACTGTATATATTTTGAAAATTTTTAAACATAATATTTTATTGATATAATACAGTATACTATCATTTCATACCTAATGTGTAAATTCATGTGATTTTTTTGTTGTTGTTGAAAAAATCAAATAATAATTATAAATATAAGTAAACAATTAATTTTGAATTTACAGTATTTTTTTTAAATATATACATTTATTTTTAAATATTTAAAAAAATCAATTCTAATAATATTGTATTAAATTTATGTATAAATATATATATTTCATAATTATAATTATTTTATTTTTTTGTGATAATTGAGGAAATGTTCATTAAAAATCATTAAAAAATTATTTTATTATTATATTTTACTAAAAAATTTTTTTTTTTATTTCTATTTGTTTTTATTTAAAATAAAAAAATTATTATTTTATTAGTTGATGTCTAAGACAACAACAACAACATTTGGTTACAATATTTTGTTATTATTATTATTATTATAATAAACAAAAAAAAATCTTTAAAAAATATTATTTTTAATTATATATAATTATATACTATACATATTTTTTATAAAATAATTTTTTGTTTTAATATTTAAATTCATTGCATTCATCAACCACTTTACACAGTATATAATAAATAAATAATAATAATATTTTTGTTTTTATTTTTTTGTTGTTGGTTGAATACATTGAGAGTTGAATAACTAACTAATTATTATTTGGTGTGTTTTAGTATAATATTTTATACACACGTTATATAACATATATATATATATATATATATATATATATATATATATATATATATAAAAATTAAAAAAAATATATAACTAAATATATATAATTTTATAATCATCATTATTATTGTATATTGTTATCATTAAAATTTACACTTTTATATACGATAATGTCATTGACATAAAGTCTAATGTGATTTTTTTTATTATTATAAAATAAAATAATTTATTTTTTCCACTCACACATACACAAAAAAATTAAGTTTATTGGACACAAAATGTTATATTTAAAAGTTTTTTTTTAAAAAAAAAACAAAAATTATATTACAATTGTTTGTCACGATTTATTTTGTTAATTATTATTATTATTATTATATAAAAATATTAAATAAAAATATTTTAATATTAATGATTTTGCATTTATTATAGTATACCATATGTATAGTGTATCCGGACTTCCGATTGATAACCAAATAATCAACAAATAACTAAACATTTTAATTATAGATACCGTATATATACCTATTCAACAACAAAAAATCATATCTTTATATATATATATATATAGATAACAGTATATCATATTATATTTTATTATAATATATATATATTATAAGTTTTGATTTCATATACTTATATGAAATTAACTAAAAAATAAAGATTATATATATATATATTATATATGTTATTATTCATTACCATTACAATTAAATGATTAAAACCATAGAAATATATAATACCTGTAAAATAAAAAGGCTTATTATATTTTCAATATACTTATAAATTAATATATATAATAATAAAGATATAACTAAAATAAAATAATTGCTAACACACTAACAATGAAATACATGATTACTATAGATATTATTATTAACAATAATAATAATAATAAAACACAACAACAAAAAAAATACTTTATTAGTATCAGTTATATTCATACTATTGGTAACATTGACTTAAATTTGTTAATTTATTTTTTGTTTGTTGTTTGTTTTGTTTTATTTTAATAATTTATTTAAATATTTAAATATATATATTACAAGTTCATATTTTTTTTTATTAATTTTTGAATTTTTTTTGTTGAAAAATTTTTTGGTACATTTAATCCATTGATCAATATATTATATCTATATATGATATTTCAAGCAAATAAATCATCCAATTTTTGTTTGGTTGTAATTTTGTTTTTGTTTGTTGTTTTATTTTTTGAAAAAAAATTAATTCATTAGCAAAAGTTTATCACAAATAAAATTTTTTCAACAAAAAATAAAAACAACTAAACTCTTCATATATTTATACAAATTATTTGTTTTGTTTGTTTTGTTTCATTGATAACTAATATAATATTGTTTTTATTTATTATTTTGTTAAAATTTGATAAAAAAAGTAAGTCATTAATTAAAATTTTAAAATATATATATTTTTTATGTATTTCAATACAAAATTATGGATAATTTTTTATTATTATAATAAATTACTTTAAAATAATAATATATAAGTAGAAAAATGAGAGATAATTTTGTTGTTATTATTATTAATAATTTTGTTGTTGTTGTTGTTGAAGAAAATAAGGTTAAAACCATTTTCAACAACAATAAAAAACTAAACTAAAATAACAAAAAATAAGTTAATTTTAGTGATAAGTAATAACAGATAAATAAATATATTATAATACAGTAATAACTATAATAATAATAAAAATAAATGTATTTTTTTATTATAATTTCCAATAATATGGGAATATATTATAGAAAAAAGTGGGGAACAGTAGTAGTTAAAGGAACGGGAGGTGAGATAGAGTAGGAAATGGGTTACGATTTAACCCGATTTGAGGGTCCGGTCGACGATGAGCTGATCTGTTCGATATGCGATGGCGTACTCCAGAAGCCGACACAAGTGGTCACTTGTGAACACGTATTTTGTGGCCAATGTCTCGATGATTGGCTACGGGAAGGCAAACAAACGTGTCCGCTGGACAGGGAGTTTATTGCCCGCGAAAACGGTATGAAATCGCCCCGAATTGTTACCAATTTGTTGGCCAAACTCAATATTAAATGCGATTTCGAGTCGTACGGATGTCGGGTAGTGGTCAAACTGGAAAGCCTGGGTAAACATTCCGGTCAGTGTCCGTATAATCCCGAAAAGCCGCTGCGATGCGAAAAAGGTTGCGGCCAAGTACTGGCCAATCGTACCGAATTTGATGAACATAATTGTATGGAAAAGTTACATAATCTGGTCCGCGACCAAAGCGACCAATTGGATGGACAGCAGCAACAAATCGATGAACTAAAAGCCGAATTGTTGACCTATAGGAACAACTATCAGAAATTGGACGATGAGTTTCGGCAGACCCGACACTCGGTAAATATAATACTATAATAATAATAATAATAATAATATTTATTTAATTAGTTTTTTTGTTTGTTAATAAAGTTTCTGTAATATAATAATAATAGATTTTTAGCATTTATTTACTATGAGATCTAAATAATAATAATTATTATTTTAATAATATATTAGTGTTTTTTATTTAAGGAAATATTATAATAGAAATTTAATTAACATTTTTATAGATAATTATTTTTTTGTTAATTAATAACAGAAAATAATAGTAAAAATTAAAAAATATTTACAGTAATTAAGTGATAATTATGTTTATAAAATTAAATATAAATTATAATAATATTGACTATAATATAAGGTAATAAAACATAGACACCAAAAATTAACATGCTGATTTTTAATTTCTAATAATTAAAAAATTAATTGTCATTTTTTATTACCATTACTACTACTACTACTACTACTACTACTACTACTACTACTACTACTACTACTACTACTACTACTACTACTACTACTACTACTACTACTACTACTACTACTACTACTACTACTACTACTACTACTACTACTACTACTACTACTACTACTACTACTACTACTACTACCTCTACTACTACTACTACTACTACTACTACTACTATAGATAAATAGCATTGAATTTAAGCTGGCGGTAGAACAGACCAAATCGGCCAAACTGTTGGACTGTATGTCCAAATGTGCCCACGAAATGACCACTTGTCACAGTCTATTCAAAGAACATTCATCAGCATCACAACAGCAGATCCGTCGGCTGAAGAGTGTGTCCGTCCGATACAATGGTACGGCCATTGATGTCGATCCGTACGAACGATTGGGTAAAGTCAAGACAAATTTGATGAAAATCTTGAACATTAGATCCGGTAAATTGAAACTATTCAATGGTCCGGACGAATTGGATAACGATATGAAATCGTTGATCGACTACGGTATACAAGATATCATAGCAGCTGATCCCATGTCCACCACCACTAGACTATCGATGGTCCAGTGCGACGAAATCCAAGTTTTCGTTAAGATACGGGTAATGAACTCCCGGGACAATATCCGTCATCCGTATTTGAGTTCAGATTTTCTACCGAAAACCGTTGCCCTCCGTTGCGACCGAAAGGGATCTATTGGTCAATTGAAAACCGAGATCCGTCTGATCCATCACAGTATCGACAGTGAAGATGTTTTGCTGACCTACGGTACGGTTACACTGGAAGATCAGTTTGATTTGAGCTATTATAACATTACCGATGGATCGTTTATCAATTATTATGCGCACCTGTAGCCGATCAACAATAACACCAAAAAAAATACTACCGTTTTTTWYCAAAATTACTATATAATTAKTATTAATATTAATAGCTATTTATTTATTAGAAATTATTTAATAATATGCATTTAAATTTTATTATTATTATTATTTTATTTATTATATATAAATTAATTTATTGATTATAATTTTGAATAAAATAATTAAATATTCAATATTAAGTATTACTTTATAGTTATAAACTATTGAATTATATATATATATATATATATATATATATATATATATATATATTGAAATCAATTGCATAAAAATTATTTTTAGTTATTAAAAATTTATTATTTATTTATTTATCTAACTATTATTAAATTATCATATATTTTCATGTTATAACAACAAAATTATTTTTAAATGTTAAACGAGTTATAATTAAATGTTTATATTATTTTTAAAAATGCATTTTAAACTAAATCCCTAAAAATATGTTTGTTTAAAATATTCAAAATTTTTCAAATATGCTAATTTAATTGAAGATTTAAATTATATATTTATATATTCAAAAAATTTCTATAAAATTACATATATTTGGATATTACTGTATGAAAAAAAATAAATTAATATTATTATTAATATCCTGTAACTTAAACTAATTATCAAAATTGGGCAAATAATTTGAATAACAAATAATAACAAACAAACAAAAAATAAATTTTAAAACAAATTTGATATTCAAAAAAAATTAAAAATAAAATAAATGTCGCAATTACTTTAGCAAAAAAAACAAAATGTTAAAAAAATATTTTTATATTTTTTAAAATTACATAATAATAATAATAATAATACATGTTTCAAGTGTACTTAAATTTTTTTTGGTACTAATAATTAACTAAAATAAATAAACTTGATAGTTTAATAATAATAATAAATAATAATAAGTTATAATTAATAAATTATTATTATATTAGCTTTAAATACAAARAAATATAATTTCAAAAAATTAATTGATTTATTCTGTATATTGAAAAATCTATATATATTTTAAAATCAGTAAAAATAATAATAAAAAAAATAAATTGTTTACTGTTTATGATTATGTATTTATTTATTTTTGTTTTATTTTGTATTCAATAGATTAAAATAAACATCACATGAATTTACATAAGGTATCATATATACAATATATATTGATAACTACTGTATCATAAAAATGTTTATATCTATATATATATAGTTAAAATAAAATATATGATATTATTTATTAAGGCTATCAATTTTGTTGTTGTTGTTGTTGTTGTTGTTAATTTAATGGTCATAATATATATAATTATATATCATCTGATATTTTTGTTGTGATTATTATGATTATTATTATTAAGTTATTGCGAAAATGCTCGTGAATTGTATGATACAATTACATACATACACACACATACATAATATAAGCCATATATATATATATATATGATATGATATATATGTGATAACATTTTCAACGATAATGTTTCCTAAAATACATATTTTTTAGTTTAAAATAATATCAGTATATATATTGCTATCTAATATACTGTATATATCTATATGATAGCTAACTTGTTAAATGATAAGTATTATCATATTATTATTATTATTATCATTATTACTGTTTCACATGTTTGGCGAAATGTAGGCCAAAACAGTTTAATTTATATAACTATTTTTATTTTTTACATTTTTTATTATAAATATATATATAATTTTTATATTATTGTTGTTGTTGTTGGGTATCATTTGACCATAAATATAATTTTGATAATAATGTAGTTAATTATATCATACATATACTGTATTTATTATATATTTAAAAAAAAAATATTTTTTTTCCAACATTATACTGTATAATAAAAATATTATCAACAAAAATAAAATAAATCATATGGTTTAATAGTAAATGGTTTGTCTCAAATATATATATATATATTTATATTGAATTTATTTTTTTTTTGAATATTATATATGTTATGACTTTGATTTATGATTGATTTTTTAATACTTATTACATAAACATTAAGATAGAGTTAAAAATGTATCTCAAGTTCTCTCTCTCTCTCTCTCTCTCTCTCTCTCTCTCTCTCTCTCTCTCTCTCTCTCTCTCTCTCTCTCTCTCTCTCTCTCTCTTGATGTGCATAACTATTGATAAATGGTTTTATATTATATATTAATTTTATTATTATTATTAATATAATAATAATTATAATAATATTCAATAAATTGCTAACTTGTTTAACAGGATATATATATAAGCATTTATAAGAGAGAGAGAGAGAGAGAGAGAGAGAGAGAGAGAGAGAGAGAGAGAGAGAGAGAGAGAGAGAGAGAGAGAGAGGATAGACTAAAAAACATATAAAAAAATAAACAAAATAAAAGCTAATTATAATATAATAGGATTTTCTAATAACTAACTATTAATAATATATATATATATATAATAAAAATAACAACAAAATTCTTGTTTATTATTATTAAATACTATATTAATGTAATTTCCAGAATAATATATTATATATATATATATATATATATATATATATATATATATATACAGAAAAATAAGTTATTAATAATATATATATATATATAATAATAATAATAAATCGTATAACCATTAGTGAGAATATTATCAAACATCAAACTTAAGTGTTATATACAACACATAGAAACAGTACATAACATAAACTAAAAAAAAAAATAAGAAAATATTTTTCTGTAATATTTACATAAATTACTAAATAATTAACTAAAGAAAAAAATAAAATAAAAATTTTTATACATATATATCATTATTCTAAATATATATATATATATTTAAACAAAAAATTTTTTTTTTAATACACTTCCATATACTGTGTCTCCCAATGTTAGCGTATATGGTGTCTAACAGTGTACTACTGGATAAGCCTACTTCACAGGAGTTAGAGACTACTAACTACTACTGTATATACTGGCACTGGTAGGGTTTTACAGCACTGGTAGTGTAGCACAGTGTCAAACACTGTAGACAATGGCTGAAAAACTGTAAGCACACTGTATATTATTATTATTATTATTATACATAGTATTATTATTTATTGTCAATTTTTTTACACATATATATACATACATATAATCACCGCCACTACCACCACCATCATCATCATTCAAGAGCACTGGTAGTTATTTTTTTGGGGACAACCATTTAATATCTATCAACCAAATTGATTGGCTATTTTGTGTGTGTATGTGTGTGTGTGTGACCACTGTTTACTATATATATTAAATTATTAAAAGGTAATTGATTTTTCATTATAATATATATATATGATATTATATAAGTAATTCATTGTATAGTTATTTACATGTATAGCATATATGTACTGTAGATATATTGTACTTATATATATATAGCACACTGTAATGTAATTATTATTATTATTATTATCATTATCATTGACAGTGAATTTTTTCCATACAATTATTATGATATAATAATATTAATAATACTTATTATATAATTTTTTTTTATAGTTTTATTTGCTTATTATTATTATTAACTAATATCTATATAATCATATTTAGTGTGAATTAGGATATATATCATATATAATAACAAATTAAATGTTTGTTACCAACTATTTAATGTAATTATATATATATATATATTTAAATTCAATAACAATTTTTTTTATTATCTTAAATATCAGTATATATATTATACTGTATATACTGTAATATATATCATATATTTATCGTGTTATATATGTAAGTAAATACAATGTATATCATATATATATATATATAGATTGTATATTTAAAATTAATTTTAAGTTTGATTATTATTATTATTATAATCTATTTAATTGCAATTATAGTATGTTTTTTAAAATATACAGTAAATCTATTTATTTATTGTAAAAAATATTTATATAAAATAATTTTTTTTAACAAATTAAGTATCTATAAAACAATTAATTTAATTAATAGGGAATAATAAAATTAATTTTTATTTTTTTTAAAAAAACATATATAATTGGAAATTAGATATTTATAGAAAAAAGTCAAAAAATTTTACTTTTTATAAAAACACATTATAATTAAATTATACTGTATATGTGGCAATATTTATTTTTTTTATATTTTTTAAAAAAAATAATAATATAATAAGTTTAACTATATGACTAAGATAGTAAAAAAATTATTTTATAAATAAATTATTTGACAATAAGTTTAATAGTATACTATTCATCAAAATAATAATTATATTAATAATAATACTAATAGTATTGACAAATAAAAAAATTAATTAAATTTATCATTAAATTTATTTATTTTTTTTATATATATCATATAAATAATTATATTTTAATTAATTTAGATATTTTATTATTGATTATTCAATTAAACAAAATAATTGCATAATTTTTTTTGGTTTAGTTTGTTATATAACTACTAATTAATTATTAATATAAATAATTTTTCTAATTTTCTCCTATTATATAATTATTATATAATATAAAATAATAATTATTTTTATACCTAAATAATTATCATATATAGAGAGAGAGAGAGAGATCAATATAGTGGTCAACTATGTCCACAATTACCGACAATAACGGCGGCAGTACTGATGGTCACAACAACAACAACAACGACAGCAATAATCTGCAACTTCTTCGGGTAAATCATAGCCTAAAGATGTCCGAAGCTTTCGAGTCGATGTTTACCGACGAAAGCCTAACGGATATTACCATCTTTTGCGACGGTACTACTGTTAAGGCTCATCGGGTAATACTGGCCGCTTCGTCATCGTATTTCAAGAACATATTGGCCACAATCAACTGCAACCAACAGTATCCGATGGTCTATCCGGTAGTGTTTGTCCCGGGTATCAAACTAACCGATATGTTAGCAATGCTGGAGTTTATCTATCGGGGCGAGGTTACCATTCCCAATGGTCAGCTGTCATCGCTGGTCAAAAGTGCCGAAATATTAGGCATCAGCGGTCTCTGTCAGTTGGATCCGAACGCACAGAATCTGAGCTCAGATGGCGGCGGCGGTGGCGACGGCGGTACTAATGATGCCAAACAATCGCCACCAGTGGACACAAACAAAAGCCGTACATCCAGTCCTACAGTCGACAACAGCAGCACCGGTACCGCTGCTGCTGCTGCTGCTAGTAGTACAGGACCGGCCAAAAGGGGTCGCAAACGAAAGAAGTTGTCGACAACAACAACAACAACGGCTACGCCAAAGATCGACAATGAAATAACATCCGACTCGGAAATGATGACGACATCCAAGAAAATGGACGATACATGCGATGATAATGAAGATCTGGATTCGTCGACGACGACTAGTGGTGGTGGTGGTAAGGCAGGTCCGACATCGGAAAAGTTGGCCAAATCAAAGCTCCGATCGTGGACTCAACAGATTGCACTGAAAGCCAATCACAAGGACTCTGCCGCCGCCGCCGCTGCCGATGAATCTCAGGAATTATCCGAAAGTGATAGTCAATCGAAAGACATGGACATTGATGGTCACAACAACACCACCACCACTACCAGTGGTAGTCAACAACAGACGAAGAGACAACAACAACAACAACAGCAACAACTGAAGCATTCCAGAGCCCGAAGAGTTCCTCTTAAGTACAGTGAATATACTCTACCGAAAGGTATTCAAGACTCGCAAAAGGAAACCGACGGCGAAACTGATGACTCAACCAGTCTGTCGTTGAGACCGCCAACACCCAGACTGACACGCGGCCGAAGTCGTGTCCATTCAGTGGATTCTATGGCAGCGGATCAGCCAAACCAGGAAACAATGGCAACAACTTCATTGACAGCTGACGGTAGCGGCGGTGGCTCTCAATCGACAACAGCACTGTTGACACCAAATACTCGGAGCCGAAAGACAACTACAACTACAACAACAGCATTGACAGCCAAAGAAACTGTGGTCAAGACTGAGCCCAATGTCGATGTCGTTGTCGGCGACAACAACAACAGTGATACTAATAATAATCAGTCGACGATTGGCAGCGATAGCAACAATAGTAAACTGGACGACAATGATAGTGATGAAAGACCAACAGATACTACAACAACAACAACACTGACAACATCACCGCAGACTACATCATCTATGATGATGTCGACCACTACTACTACTACTACCGCCGCCGCCACCACATCGTCGTCGTCGTCATCTACGGTACGAAACAAGACTCAGACACCCGTCAAGTCTCAGAGTAAGTGATATTTATTTTATTTATTTATTTTTTTTGGTGTAAATTATTTTATTTTTATGTTTGACTTTACTATCAATTGATTTTTTCCGTTCAAAATACTTACCACAAAAAAATTATATAATAAATAATTGATAACTAATTGAAAATCTTTTTTTAATATACAAAAAATATTATTATTTTTCCTATAATTTTCTTCCGATTTTTTGTTTTATGTGTTTGTTTTTTTAAAATAAAATAATTTTAATTATTATATATAATTATTTTTTGATTTTATTTTTCTTTTTTTTTCTCTCACACATTCAGAGATTTGATTTAATAATAATTACATGAAATTTTTAAATTTATAAAAAAAATGTTGTTTAAAACGTCCACAAAATAAAACCAATCCATTCCCACATAAAATTAAAAATAAATCAAACAAAAAATTATTATTTTATTTTTTTATTTATAAAAAAAAGTGATAATAAATAAAAAATATTTTCAATTAGTATTCAATTCAATTAATTAAATAATAAAAAATTAATAAAACTCTCGTTAAGTTTGGGTTTTAAAAACAAAAATCTTTTCGTGTTTTTCTGTATATAAATATATATTCAATAAATCCCTCAACAGTTCCGCTACAATCGTCTTCATCATCAGTGCCATCATCGCCAATGAAATGGCGACCAAAGTCTTCAACAACAACACCATCGGCATCGGCAGCAAAGTATACAAGAGTTCGTTCATCTACGACATCGATGGCCAACAACAACGCGACCACCTCTGCAACCGCCGCCACATCACCGCCGCCGCCGCAACAATCGCTTGACTATCAATACGAATCGATTCAGGCGGACGGCCCGCCAGTCTACCGGTGCCAACAATGCCGCCATTGTTTCCGTAGCAAACAAAATATCATTGACCACATCCGCAGCGTTCACAACAAAAGCGATGAACGATATGTCTGTCCTCTTTGTCACAAACAATTCAAATGGAAGACCAGTCTTAACAATCATTTGAATCAATTGCATCCGTTGTCGAGGCCGACACCGCTCAGACATTTCGATAAACCAAGAAAATCGGTGTCCAATCGGTATGAATGATTGAAAAACCCCGATAACAACCAACCGTTTTGATTGGATTGGATTGGATTCAGTGATCAATCAATCAATTAATTGATTTTATTTTAATTTTGTGATGATTTTTGAAACTTTTTTTTTTGATTTTTTTTGGCTAAAAATTTATTTTTCTTTCAGTTTATTATCAAATAAAAAAAAATTTTTGTTGTTATTATTATTAATGTTTTGTTCATTCAATTTGATTGTTTGTATAAAAGTTTTTTTTATATAAAAATTAATTTTATTATTATTGATTGATTTTTGTTTGAAAAAGTAATGATAATTAATTGATGTTTTTTCAAACATACAGTACATTAAATTAATTGTTTATTATTATTAGTTTACTAATTATACTATAATTAATTATTGCAAACCAATGTATATAACTTATATATATATATATATATGTATTTATTATATAATAACTTATATGATATAATAATATTTTATATATAACAGTAATAATACTAATTATATTATTTATGATATTAATTAATTTTTTTGTTTGTTTGTTTAAAACATTTAATTTTTGATGTATAATTTTTGTTTAATGTTTAAAAATTAAAAATAATTTCTCTATTATTACCGTATTTACTTGCATTTTTTTAACTACCCCCTCCCCCCTAGTAAATTAAACGAGGGTGTGGGGGGAAAAGCAAAAATAGGGGGTGGGGTGGGGGAATAGGGGACACTGTAATAACTGATATTTAACAGTTATTTAATTAATAGAAAAATAGTGGTATATTTAAAATTTACATTACTTATTAATCATCGGGGGGGGGGGGATGGAGGTGTGGGAAATTAAAATTTAAAGTTACAAAATTTATCATATTATTATTAATAAATTAAGCAATGTTTAACAAGGTAAATGTGTTTATTAAAAATAAAATAATTAATATTATTATTTATACTATTTATATTTCAAAAAGTTTATAAATTAAACAAAAAATTAATTTTTTAAAGAAAAAAAAGTTTATGTAAAACAAATTATATATTAATAAAATAAACTAGTTAATTATTTGTTTGTTTTTTAAAAATAGTTATATATATAAGCTATAAATTTTAATTTTTAAAATATTCAAAAATTTCTAATTATTTAAAATACTGTATATAAGCTTGGTTATTTTTTGTAATAGTGAGACATCTATAGGAATTTTGTTTAGTAATAATATCATGCTCATTGTTGATATAATATCAACAATGAGCATGATAATATTACTAAAAATAATATATCAATGATACTGTATATTATATAATTTTTGAAATATTATTTGTAAACATTTTTTTTGAAATAAAATTAATAATTACTATAAAATCTATATAATATATAATAAATTTTTTAAAAAAAATAAAATGAGTAATATTGATCATAATGACCATGATAATAAATTAGTTGAAATAAAACATGAATTACTTGAATTGAATTTGAATGGCAATCCAACTAATGAGTGGTAAGTTTTATTTTTATAAAAAATTAAATAATTAATAATTAATTAATAACTACTATAGTTTATACTGTAATTACAAATAATTATTGTTTAAAATTTAAGATAAAAATATTGTTTAAATATATAAAATATTTTATATATAATTTATTTTTTTAATATAATTTATTTTTATTTAATTTATTTTTATTTAATTTATTTTTTATTTAATTTATTTTTAATTTAATTTATTTTTAATTTAATTTAATAGTACTATTACTACTAATAATAATAGGAAAACTTTATGGTCTAACCATTTGGGAGAGCCTACCCATGTATTTAACTGGCTGATTACTAATTGCCAGAACCAACTAGACAATCGTCAATCACCAGGGTATGAAAATGCTATAAAATTAAATAATTATATAATTAAATGTCAATCAACAACAACAACAACAACAAAAAAGTTTCAATTAATTTATTTGACAACTAATCCCTATCCCTATGACTATTACATACACATACACACAGAGACAGACACTACCGGTTCTTGTAGCGTTTACCGGTCCTGAGAATCCCGTATAGTGATGGTAGCCCAGACCTCCCTGAGTACCCCCATAGCACTTTCATACCTGTCCGACCTCCGCAATTTGAGATATTCGACTTTAAAGTCGATTTTTTTAATGGACGTTATTTATGTATATGAGACATTATTTCAATGTACTTTTTAATGCTACTAATATATCTGAAAACAAAATTTCAATACGATTTCTAGTATTCGAGATATTTGACTAAATCGAAAGTCGAAATTTTTAAATTACGTTATTTATACATATGATATATGATTTCAATGTATTTTTTAATAATAACTATCATAATAAAATCAACATTTCTATAAGTTATATAGTATTCGAGATATTCGACTATAGTCGATTTTTTTGTATATTGCATTTAATTATTATTTTTACTGTATATTATTTATTTTATTAAATGTATAAATTTATTATTGTTAATTGTGTGTAAAATTAATATGCAATTTGATAATATTTTTGGCAATGCTAGACTTGAATGATAAGTTTGTTAAATCATGATAGTATTTTATAGTACTATCAACAAATAATACTTTTATCACGAACTCCTAAAAAAGTACGTATGGAAATGCTTTCTAGCATTCTCAACTGGTTTATACTGCAAATAATTTTTACTCGATTTAAAGTCGAATATCTCGAATACTAGAAATCGTATTGAAATTTTGTTTTCAGATATATTAGTAGCATTAAAAAGTACATTGAAATAATGTCTCATATACATAAATAACGTCCATTAAAAAATCGACTTTAAAGTCGAATATCTCGAATTGCGGAGGTCGGACAGGTATGAGAGTGCTATGGGGGTACTCAGGGAGGTCTGGGTTACCATCACTATTCGGGATTCCCAGGACCGGTAAACGCTACAAGAACCGACACTACCTAATCGATTGGTGCCATAGAGTAGTCCTTTTATTTTTTTAAAATTATTTTCAATACAATAATTATTTAAAATATATATATATATATATATATAGTTATTATTAGTTAATCTATTGATTTATCTATTAATCGTTCAATGAAATTGACAAAAAACAATTTGAAAACAATATATAGAAAAAACAAACAAAACAAAAAGTTTTTCATATATATATATATATATATATAACAATCAAATAAATATAATATTTAAAAAAATAATATTAAATATTAAAATACAATAAAAATATTTTTTTAATTTTTTTATAGTCTATAGTATAAGGTATAGTTAGAAATACATATTATTGGCGACTACAGGAAAAGTGACTATTAATAACATTATTATTATAGTATTATAACAATATATATATATATATATATATATACAGTACTGTATATATACATGTATTCAAGTTTTAGCAAATAGAGAATAATATATATATATATAATTATTTAAATTTTATGATTTCATTAAAAAAAAAATAATTATATTTTATAATTATTTAATTTAAATATCAAATAGCATTCAATCGGAAAAGGATGAGCTGATACTGGCGTTGGCTATAATTAATAAGGAAATCAACTTATTTTATTATAGCTATTACAACGGTAACCATTGTATGGGAGACAGACAACTGGTATCCATATTGAAAAAGTCGACAAAATTATTGGACAAATTGATTGGATTTAGACATCTTTCCTATGAATTCATCCAAACGTTTAGTATTTTGTTTTTTAAAAATATATTTTTTAATAGACCCACATATAGCCGCCCCCCCCGACCCTGGCAATCATGGGCTATATGTGAAACTGTGGGGGGGCTATGTGAGATATAGCCCTATACCCCCTCCCCTCCCGACCAAATGGGGGTATCAAATACCCCCCCATCCACTATTCAAACAATTGAAGTTTTTTTTTTTGATTGCCTGTAATTGATTTGTTATTATTATTACTATTATTTCTACTGTATTATCATATATTTATTTTTAAAATAACAACTATTTTAACACTTAATTGCTACTTATTAATGGTTTACTGATTGCAATATTACATATACACCCTATCCTCCCCCCCCAACAACCCAATCGTTCCCTACCCCGACCCCCACAACTTCATATATAGTTCCAGTAGGGGGTTGTGGGTGGGGTAAAAAATTGTCAGTAGGGGTAGGGGGCTATATGCGGGTGTCTAAACGGTAATCAAAAATATAAAGTTTTTTTTTAATAATTTTTTGTTTTATTTTATTTTATTTTTTTTTAAAGGACACTATCGCTTGTTCACAGAGGATACCAGTCATTACATCAACATTTGTATAATCTTCGTGTCCATCCATATCTACCTATCATTAATCAACAACAACAGCGACAACAACGGCAACAAAATTTAAAAATTAATTAAATAATAATTAAAAAAAAATAATGCATAAAAACAATATATAATTTATTAAAAAATATAAAAAATACAGTATATATATATATATATAAATTTAAAAACTTATTATAATATTATAATACCGTCCGTACGCGCATATAGCCCCCCCTCCAACCATCCCATAGACATCAGGGGCTATATGTGAGTTACAGCCTCCCCCCCCCCATACAAGAAAGTTTGATTTAATATAAATTTTAACAAATAGCCCCATTATTGTAGTCTTTTTTTTATGAATGTGTGATTACACACACCCGCACCCACCCCTCCCTTAAAAAATTAAATCTATTTATTGCCAAATAATGGCCTATAAATCATTGAAAATCATTATTGTATTTAATCAAATATTTAATTGCTATATTAACTGGCTGCTTTAATGGTCTTTAATGTTAACCCACCCCCACCCCCATCCCCAATCGTTTCTTGCCCCACAACTTCACATATAGCCCCAGTAGGGTTGGGGGGGGGTAAATGTGTGTTACAGCCCCATATCAGGGGGGACTATATGTGCGTACAGTACAGTAATGATAATTAATTCAATGATATTTTTTTGTTCAAACATACAGTACAATACATTTAAATTAATTGTTTATTATTATTATTATTAGTTTACTAATTATATTAATATTTTAATTATTATTACAAACCAATGTACAGTATATAACAATTTGTATAACTAATTAACAAAATTATTATTTAAAAAAAAATATGTCATCAAATATATCATATTTATAAGCAATTTATTTATTTAAAAAAACTCATTTAATCACTTATTTAATCACATTTTATACATACATTATAAACAGTAATAATAATAATAATAATAGATAAAATAAAATTATAAAATATTTATATGATAATGATTATAAATAAATTTTAAAAAAAATACACATTCATTAATTATATTTTTTTTGAAAAAAAAATAAAAAACAAAAATAACAATCAATTTTGTCAATTGTTTTGGTTTTGTGTTGATGTCTAAGATTTTAAAGATCACCACAAAAAACATCAAACAATATCTACAGTATATATATATATATATATATCTAAAACAATACATTTCAACAACAATAGGTATTATAATATACAGTATATATATATATATATATATATAAACTTATAAACTATTATTACAAACAAACAATCAATTAATTAATAGCCATTTGAGGCCAACAGCCACTCCATGTGCTCTCTGTCGCGCCTATCGAGTAGGTCTTCCCAATAGTTGCCCTCTAAGACAGACAAACAATAAGATATAACAATAATTTCATGGATTGATTGATTGATTGAAGACAACAAACAACTAATACCTTCGATGAGCAACTCTTGTCGTATTTGTTCCATTAGATCGCTCATCATATCTAGCGATTGGTGGCCAACAACTGATGGCAACAACTCCTCAGCAGCCGTTGATTGTCTGGTAAACTGTTGCCAAACGTCGCGCATTACTTCATCGACCATTGATTGGCGTTCATTGGCCACCGCCTCCGCCAGCTTTAGGTCATTATTATCATCGGCGGCGGCAGTAGTCGTCAACTTATCGTTGATGTCTATGTTGCGGAACCGTTCGACAAGTCGCGAACGGCTAGCCATACGGCGGTCATTCAATTGTGACAAACATTGCTATCAAAACAAATCAAATTAATCACTTAATTAGATCCAAAGTTTTTAAACAATTTTTTTTAAATACCTTTTTATACATTAGTTGCCAATTGGGAGACGTTTTGTACAGATCTTTATGCGACCGTCGCTGAGAAAAGTCTTGAATCGGTGGCGGCGGCGGAGCCATCGGTGAACACTTCGGTGATCGCATGTTTGTCGGCAACATTATTGGTCGGGCGCCGCTTCCGGCGGGAATCGCTGGCCAATAGATAAAACAATTGTCTAAACAATTTAATGGATCAACTCTTTTGGTTGTCTCTCATCAAAGACAGAGAGAGAGAGAGAGAGAGAGAGAGAGAGAGAGAGAGATGTGATGACCAACTGATTGATGTGAATGTCTTTGAAGACCAAAAAAATAAATAAATTTTTAAAAAAAAAGTTTTGTTTTTGTTTTGTTATGATTGTTATGATTGTGTGTTTGAACTGTACATTGAAAGCGCCATAAATAACGTCAAGCATTACAGTATTAAACTATAGAAATAGTTTATACATAAATATTGTCGTAATTTATGGCTAATACAGTATTATAGTCCATGTGATTGATATCATCAGTGAAAAAGTGTGGTTAAAAAAAGTTTTTTTTGCCATCAAATACAAGATATTTTTCGGGCTTAAGATTTTTGATAAGCAAATTATTAGTGGATTTAATTCATAGGACACGACATCGCAGGACATCACAAAACATCACAAGACATCACAAGACATCACAAGACATGGAAGAAGCGATTGTCGCCGCCGACGATGAAAGCAATGGCGAAGACAACGCCGTTAACGGCGATGAAAGTCAAGACAACAACAACTTGTTGTCGATGTCGTCGACAACACTGAAGAGATCGCATTCAATATTATCGTCGGCGTCATCGGCAGCGGTGGCGTTACCGCAGAAACGTTTCTATCGGCAGAGAGCCCACTCGAATCCGATTGCCGACCATTGTTTCGACTATCCAACCGATCCCATGGCCATGGATTGGCGCCAACACTATCCGACAGTCGTCGACCCGGAAATCTTCGACCGTGGTGTCCAGTTTGCCGACATTGGTTGCGGTTACGGCGGACTACTCATAGCATTGTCACCGATGTTTCCGACAACACTGATGCTTGGTCTGGAAATACGGGTCAAAGTTTGCGATTTTGTTGTCGACCGGATCGCCGCTTTGCGCCAACAACACGCCGACGATGCGGACAGCGGTGATGATGGCAACTGTGGTAGCGGTGGTGGCGGCAAATACGCTAACATATCGTGTCTGAGAACTAATGCAATGAAATATTTGCCGAATATGTTTCCGAAAGGACAGCTCAGGAAAATGTTTTTCCTGTTTCCCGATCCGCACTTCAAAAAACAGAAACACAAATGGCGTATAATATCCCAGCAATTGCTCAGCGAATATGCCTACTGTTTGGCCATCGATGGCCGAGTTTATGTGGCCACTGATGTCCGCGAATTGTACGAATGGATGACCGAACATCTGGATAGACATCAGTTGTTTGAAAGTTTAAGGCCTGAAGAGATTGACGACGACCAATGTGTACCGAAATTGTTTGATTCGACCGAAGAAGGTCAGAAAGTTAGCCGTAATGGTGGCCAGAAATTTGTGGCCGTTTATCGGCGAATTAAGGATCCGTTTGATGGCCAATGATATTCATTTATACAATATATATATATATATATACAAAAAAAATATCTATCATTATATATATATATATACAGTATATATATCTATCGCATTATTTGTTTGTTTGTTTCATAATAATAATAATTGTTATATTTATTCATAAAAAAAACTATACGATAATAACTAAAGTATTATTAATTAATTTTAGTTGTTTTGAAAAAAAAATTTTAACTTAAAAAAATACATATTTAAAAAAAACTGTTATTATTTTTAAAAATTAATAATTTAACCCAAAAAAAATGTTTATATAATTCATATATATATATATTAAATTATATTACAAGTAAATTAAATCATTTAATAATTTTTGCATTAATAATTTTTTTAGGATTATTAAATTGTACATGATACAATTGTTTAGTTAAATATATTAGGGGATGTAGCTCAGTGGTAGAGCGTTCGCTTTGCATGTGAAAGGCCCGGGGTTCGATCCCCCGCATCTCCACTTATTTTTTTTTTTAAATAATTACAACAATTTTATCGATTAGTTTTTAAATAATATATTTTTTATATAACTTAATTGTCGCTATAATTAAATACCAATTAAATCACTAATAATACTAATAACATATATGGAAAAAATAATTGGTTTCATTCAATGATAAAAAATATTTTTTTAATTTAAAAAACAATTCAATTATATTAGAGATCCAAACAAACAAATCAATTAAACTATGGATCAGTTTAGATGTCCGGGTGATAGTGTCCGCCTCAGCCGAGGCCACCGATAGTGTTGGTCAACACAACCGATAGATTACCGACAATTTAAAAACTTTGTATTTCTTTACAAACATTTTTTTGTTTAATTAATGTCTTATTAAATCAATTATATTAGAGAGACAAACAAACAAACAAATCAATTAAACTATGGATCAGTTTAGATGTACGGGTGATAGTGTCCGTCGATAGTGTTGGTCAACACAACCGAGATTACCGACAATTAAAAAAAACAAAACTTCGTATTTCTTTCCAAACATTTTTTGTTTAATGTCTTATTAAATCAATAATACATTTAATAATAATAATTATAATAATAATATCAATGTGTGTGAAAAAAACGGATCTTCAAAAACTCTTCATCAATCGGCGGCTTTTATTATTTGTCTTCGGGTTTGTTGAAGACAAACGTTAGGCCACATTTGCCGCAATATTGCCGATCAAAGTGGGAGGCCATGAATACGCCGGCACCGCATTCATCGTTAGTACACTCCCGACGCAAACGTGTAATCTTTCCGTTTTCATCGACTTTATAAAACCGCAGAACCGATAGCTTCACTTTCTTCTTCTTGTGGCTATTCTTCTTCGGTGTCGTATAGTTCTTCTTCTTGCGTTTCTTGGCACCACCTCTTAGGCGAAGAACCAGATGCAGTGTCGACTCTTTCTGGATGTTATAGTCGGACAGTGTTCGGCCATCTTCTAGTTGTTTGCCGGCAAATATCAGCCGTTGTTGATCCGGTGGTATACCTTCCTTGTCCTGGATCTTGGCTTTGACATTCTCGATGGTATCCGACGGTTCAACTTCTAAGGTGATGGTCTTACCCGTCAACGTCTTGACAAATATCTGCATCCTTTTTGTTTGTTTGTTGGATCCAATTGGCTGTTGTATCGGATGATGACTATCACTGTTAAGAGACTACTCGACAGACATCACATGTAAAAAGGAAAAGGAAGTGTCAGTTGTGTTGTCAGTCAGTGTGTGTGGAAAATGTCTGCACCAGAAAAAACTTACTGTCCGTACCGTCCGGTGCTGTCATCTGACGGCGCTATCGACTCCACTGACTGACTGACTGACTGTCTGTTTGTTAAGAGTCGTTACATTTCAGAGTAAGAGTTGACTGTCTGTCTGTCTGATTGACTGTTTGTATGGTTATGTGTTTCACCTCCTCTTATACTAGTAGTTCAAACAGTGATTGTCAACAACGACAACAACAACATTATTAGTTATTAGTAGTGAACCAAATCAAAGAAGTCAAACAACAAACAACAGAAAAACTTCAACCAAACAAAACAACAGTCCTTTGCTTTTGTGTGAAGAAATCCATTGCCATTGGAAAAGACACGGTGTGTCTGTGTCTGGGGATTCATTTGATTATTGACTTGTTGTCTATTGTTTTACTATATGATCACATCACCGATTACCTGATCCATCACACCAACAGCAACAATGTCTAACAACACGCCCACCACTACCACCATCGATGGTGGCGGCGGAGGCGGTGGTGTCGGTGTCAACGAACAAATGCTGAACGTATTCAAGAGTTTCCTACAGACATATGTACCGAAACCGGTTGCCGATCAGCAACAACAGTCAAGAGTGTCTTCCGGAGGAGGTATTGGTGGCCACCATCACCATCAAGACCTATCCAAATGTGATAATCCATTGGAAACTGTAGTCTTACGCAATCGTCAATCAACTGATACCTGTCTGTTCTCTGAACATACCATCAGTCCCAATGATGTCGAACCCGAAGTTTTCGATTGGATCTATTATAACTTGGACTACAAGTATGTCTTTTATTTTTTATTTACCAATTAATTAATTAATTAATTGATTTTATCTTTGATTTTTTGATGATAATGTGTGTCTCTCTCTCTCTCTCATGTGTCTCATGATGTCTATGTACTGCTCTGTGTCTGTAAAATATCTTAACACTACTGTATATGTGGTGTTTGATTGGGTGTTTGATCCCAACCCATACCATCCCTATCCCTATGACTATTACATACACATACACACAGAGACAGACACTACCTAATCGATTGGTGCCATAGAGTAGTCCTTTTTTGATTATCATTAATACAATCATTATATATATTAATAGTTGTATTGTTTTTTTTATTACTATTATTATTAGTATTATTAGTTAATCTATTGATTTATCGTTCAATGAAATTGACAAAAAAATTTTGAAAACAATATAAAAACAAACAAAAAAAAGTTTTTTTTATTATCATTTAATATAATTATTTTGATATTATATAATATCATAGGTTTTCCAAATGAGTCATTCAATTGATGTCAATTAGGGGATTGTATGGACACACCAACCATTATAACCAACCGGTTGCTGTGTCAACACATTATAGGCTATTAAAAAAAAGTTTTTCATATATATATATATATATAACAAATATAATATTAAAAAAAAAAATTATTATTATATATTAAATATTAATATACAATAAAATATTATTTTTTATTAGTCTACTCCTCTAGTATAAGGTATAGTTAGAAATATATATATTATTGGCGACTACAGGAAAAGTGACTATTAATAACTTATTATTAGTATTCAAATATAATATTTTTATATATATATATATACTGTACATGCATTCAAGTTATTATATAAGTACTGGTGTATAGAGAAAAATATATATATAATTTTTATTTTATGATTGTTATTTCAACACTCAAATGACTGTCAAATGTGTATATCATTTAAATGACTTATGAAAATAAACAGAGACAACAGCACAGCACACCACTACTACCTAACTCTCCCCATAACATACTGTATTTTACACATACAAGTGCATGAATTTTTGCTGACTATAACCCTACTGTATGTATGTATGTATGTGTTTATGTATAACTTATAAACTTATAGATTATTATTATTATTATATATATATATAGTATATACAGTAACATAGGATTATTCAACTAATATATATAACTTATATTATATATACAGAGAGAGAGAGAGAGAGAGAGAGACAATATATTTATAGCCATTATTTGACTCATTTTGTGTGTAATCGCATCAACTATTTTATGTTATATATGTGATGATGTTTTAGTAGTCTCTCTCTCTCTCTCTCTCTCTCTCTCATTGAAAATAAAACATTTTGTATAAAAGTTTAGTAGTTTACTAACTAAAGTGAAACTAATTATGATTATTATGTGAACATTTTTTTTTCTCTCTCTCTCTTAAAAAAATTACATTACATAACATTAGTAGTAGTAGTAGTAGTACTGGTATATCCATAGACTCTTAATGTCAAATAATAATTTACTGTAAAAAAACTACTTATGTTAAGCAATATCTCTACTTGTTTTTTAAAACTATTGTATTAATATTACTATTTTATAATATTGTATACAAAAAAAAAATTACAATTTTTTTTAATGAAGTTTTTTATTATATTAACTTTCCATTCATTCATTCATACATTTATTCATTGATGGTTTAAATTATATATATATATTATGTTATATACAATAATAATAATCATTATTAACGCCGATATTGTTTTATATTAATTAGTTACTGAAAAAAATAACGATTAGCTATAATACAGGTATTATTAAATTTTATAAAAAAAAATTATTGAAAAATTGAAAGATTTTACTTTTTATTTTATTTTATCGTTATTTTATTTCCCCCTTTAATTTTGTACTGTTTTAATAGTATTATTATTATTACTACTATATTATTGTTATATTATTATTATTATTATTACTGTATTTTATTATCATTATTATATTATTATTTTTATAAAATAGTTTTCGGTTTAATTGATTTGTTTTTTGAAGTAAAAAATTATTTTCGTTTTGTTTCAAACAAACAAAACAAAACAATTTTTTTAAGACAAACAAACAAAAAGAAATAATATTTAATTAATGCTTTAATAATTTAATAATAATTGTGTTTTTTAATATATATATATATATATATAAATAAAAATTTATATACATTTTATATACACGATATTTGTTATAATAGTTTTTAATGTTTTTTAAACACACACTGTATATAACAATAATAATATAATATTAAAATAAAATTTATAAAATAATAAAAAGCTAAACAAGAAAAACCTAACACAGAAACTATCGGTGCATTTAATATAATAATAATAATAATAATAATAAACGAGTTATGACTCATACCTAAAATATGACAGCTTTTTTAAAGCTACCCTCACCTGTGTATATACAAAATAGTTTACTATAGTTTTATACTATATATACTGTATTTTATATTTATTTTATTTAAATATTATACATTTAGTTTTTTAATATTATTATTATTTTCATTAATGTTAATTTTTATTTATTTAGATTTTTTTTTCTCGTTGAAATTTTTTTTTATTCAATATATCTAAATATACTTGTATTGTGTTTGTATGTGTTTAATATTGTTGTTTAAAGTATATAATTAGTCAATAATTTTTTTGTTGTTTTTCTAGCCATGTCCTAGATTTTATGCAAATAGATATTTATTGAACGATAATATTGTTATTATTGTTGAAATATATATATATATATATAGAAATAGATAATTTTAATATACATATTTAAATATAGATGATTTATATCTTGATTTTATTTTTTTATTTTTAATAAATTAAATATACAGTATTGTTATATATATATATCTATATATAAGTTGCCAATCAGTTAATGTATATATGAAACTAATGGATAGCAGACACACACACACATACATACATAAACTTTTAACAAAAGTATAGTTCAATTACATAACATTATATATATATATATATATATATTGAGTGTCTGTAACTCATTGATGCGTTTACTAACTAATAATAATACCATATATATATATATATATATATATATACTGTATGTRTATATATATAACTTATATAATATTGTATAATGTATGGTGTGTTTCACTTTTTATCGACACTCATGTATAAGCAATTTAGTCGTGAAAATAAACTTTATATATAAGTTATATATACTGTACGTACAGTCTGTATGTATATGTATTAACTTTATATACAGCTTATATATATATACATACAAAATAAATTGCATAACATTTAGACATATATGCACTCTTTTTTGTGTATGTCCCAGACATCCCAAAAACCATATTATATATTATATATATATATAATAGACAGCAACCAATAGTTGGCTGTCTTGTAGTTTGTTGTATATATATGTTTGGATGTATTATATATTAGAGTTTTCACTTGTAGTGTAGTAGTGTTCACTTACCTCTCTATCTACTATATCTTTCAATACACCTGTCCATACCATCCATACCATACCATACCATTCCTCTCACTCACTCACTAACACTCTGGTATGTGTGCCTAGTCTTGCATTTGATTTTATTTTTAAAAGATTTTATATGTATACTGTATATTAAAGTGCTTAAGTGTTAACCCAACTGAGCTCTCTATTGTGTAATATAACGAAACGTCAGGAGAGAGAGACAACAAAATATAACTTTTTTGAATAACTATTATATATTTTATTTTGATTTTTTTTATTGTATTGAATTGATTTGATTGGGGAAAAAATATATAATTTTTTTAAACACATTTTTATTTTGTTTGTTTGTTGAAAGAAACAACTTTTTGAAACTTTAATTTTTATGTGTTTTGTTAGTATATGAGAGGATAGACATACATACCATTATCGCCAACAAAAAAAAACTAACTAAATATAATTTAATAATTTTTATGTTATATTTTTTTATTATTAAAGTTTTATTCAATTGATTTATTATTTTAATAATAATAATTTCCTTTTTGTTTTATTAATAATTACTAATTAGTAAATTAAATCAAAATTATTTATGATTAACAACATTATTGTTATTATTTTTTTTAATTGTGTGTCTATACATAAATCATAAATAGTTTATATATATATTTAATATATATATAAATATTTATAGATTTTTTTCTGCTTGAAACATATTTTGTAAGTTTCTAATAATAATAATAATTAATTATTTATAAAATAATTAACACTTTTTCTTTAATTATAATTTAATTAATTATTTATATATAAAGTATATATATATATATATATATATGATATTAAATATTGCAACATATTTATAGTGATAATAAAAATTGAATGATTAATGAAAATATTGTTTGACTAATCAATTGTGTATTGTTTTCTCATATTTTTTTGTTGTTTTATTTATATTTTTTGTTAAAAATTTTATGTCGATTTTATTATTATTATTATTTTTATTATTATTGGCTGCCGGTGCCCATTAAAATATTATTAATAAAATTATTATTATTATTATTATTATTATTGAAGGAAGTGTCCCTATCCGTTGGCCTTTGCATTGGCCTCAATAGTGTCCCGAAAGTTAGGTTTGGCCGAAACGACCCGAGAATCTCAAGAGGAGTCGTCGTCATCATCATCATCGGTGACAGCAATCAAAAACATCGATAACTCTAAGCCAGGTATTTATATATATATATATTATAAAAAAAAATTACTAAATAATAATCATTGAAATATTGAAAACTTTTTTTATTTATTTATTTATTAATATTTTATTTATTAATATATAAATAAATAAATATGAAAAAAAAGTTTTTATAACTTTTCACTGACTCTTATAGTGTATTGTATGGTATGAGCGCTGTTTATAATGTTTTCCTTATTTCTTACGAAACAATTAATTATTATTATTATTACATATATTATTGTTATTATTATTATTATTGTTGATTATAATAATAATGCCATTAAAAAAGCCCTGAGCGCTTAGGTATGTATGTATAGTAAGTTGAATGAGTCATACCTTACAGAACTAGTATATTCACACACAGATAGATAGGGATAGATAGAGAAAAGTGTGTTATTTTAAATATATATATAATATATAAAGTTTTTTAATAAACCCTATCTGTATGTATGTCTGTGTGTGTGTGTGTGTGTGTGTATAGTAATACCCCTCTAACCCATCCCAGTGCTCGAGTCTAACTATCTAATGATTTAATTATTATCCAAACCTCTCTCTCTCTCTTTCAAACACAACAACCAACAGCTCTCTCATCAAATGACTTATACTCGCAATCGTTGGAATACTTAACCGAATACATCAATCTCTGGAAGGATAAGCCCGAGTTGGCCGTCGAAATAGCCGAAGAATATTCCAAACAGCCGTTCCCACTGTCCATCTGCGCCATCAAAAATACCAGACGAAAGATGGAGGACAGACATGTCATATTGCATGACCTGAACAAAGCACTTAATCTAAAGGTTTGTATTATCTGTTTTGTTTGTATTTTTTTGGGTGATGTTTGATATGTAATGTAATGGTTGTGTTGTGTTTGATGTGCCAATAAATTTTCGATAGATTTGTTTTTATATATATATATATATATATATATAATTTTTTTTGATAGCATTTTATTTGTTAAATTGAATGAATGATTGAAAAACTAAAATTTTGTTTTTTTTTGATTTAAATTTCTGGCTCTCAAAATGTATTTTATAATAAAAATTTTCACTTATAGTGTTTGTTGCTATGTATTGAATATATATTGCTTTTAATTTTTTTTTTATATTAAAAGTTTAGTTGTTTTTTTATTTTGTTTAGTTTGGTTGGAAAATATATTTTTTTCGGTTTAAAAAATTTTTTTTGGAGCTTAAACTTGAAATTTGACTTTAGTTTTGTTTTTTTTTGTGTGTGTTTTGTTTTCTCAATAAATTTCTCAAATCTAAGGGAATTACAAAAAATATATATTTTTATTTATTTTTTAAAATTTTCATTTAAATATATTTGTGTGACAAATAAGTAAATATAAATCTACTTATATATATATAATCTCTATGTATATCAACTACAAAATAAAAAATTTTAAATTTATATATATCTTTTAAACATAATTTAAACTATTAATTAGTATTTAAATTATTTATAGTAAAATTATACTTAATTATAATTATAATTTATAGTAATGTATAGATTTATTATATTACTGCCATATAAATAGTTAATATTTCTAAAAAAAAATTAAATTTATTAATGAATAATTTTATTAATTAATTAAAAAATTTATATATCTATTAGTATTTAAATGCAGATTAGATACTTCAACAACAAAAAATTATAATATTTAACATACAAATCATAATGTTTTTTATCGAAATATATTTTTTTTAAAAACCAGAAAAAATTTGTAGTCAACAACTAAAAAAAATTAACACACATTTTGATGACGAAATACAATATTTTTTTTGTTAAAAAATTATTTATTATTTTGTTGACAACAATAACAAAAAAAATATGAATTATTAAAAACTTCTAATTAAGCTAATTAGTAATTAAAATTAATTAACATTATGTTATCACATGTAGAAAATTATTAGTATTATTAGTAGTAGTAGTATATTTAAAAAACTATTTTTAACATAAATTTTGTTGTTGTTTGTTTTTCCTATTTCTAAATACCTTAGTTATTAATATTCACTACTAAATTATACAGTATATGTATATATATATATATATATATATATATATATATATATATATACAGGTAGTTGTACTCTATATACTGTATATATATATGTACTTTACTGTAAATATTTAAAATAACTTAAGATTTAATGATCGATATATAAATTATTATTATTTTTTTTTAAAAAACATTATATTTTAATGATCTGTTACTTTAAAAATAATTTTTTTTATACATGTAATTAGGTCTATACAGCAATTATCTCACATTTACCAATACTACTACTACTACTAACTAATTGATTTATAAATAAATAAATAATTATTTTCTCATATCTAAAAGTTTAAAGACATCTATCTATCTATAAGTCAATTATTATTTACAACTAAAAAATGTATTTATAATTTAATTATAATTATTTTTACGACTATAAACCTATAGGTTTCCAAACTATACAGTTATTATGCAATATTCGATGGTCACGCCGGTGTGGACGCGGCCAGCTATCTGTCCGCTCATTTGCACCATAACCTGGTCAATACACAGGCCTTTGCCGACGGCGATATTGTCGGCGCCTTCAAAGAAGCCTTTTCCCTAACCGATCTATACTATTTGGAACGATCGGCCCGGGAGTCCCGAAAAGCCGGTTCGACCGCCCTGTGCGCCCTATTGGAAGATCGGCGCAAACTATACGTTACCTGGCTGGGCGACTCCCAAGCCTTGCTGGTCAAGGATGGTCGACCCATCGACATAATGGTACCGCACAAACCCGAACACGACATCGAACGCAAACGTATCGAAGAGTTGGGCGGTTTTGTAGCCTATGTCGACACTTGGCGTGTGAACGGAACGCTAGCCGTTTCCCGGGCTATCGGCGATCCCGAACACAAACCGTATGTAAGCTCGGAACCCGATGTCGTCGAATTGGACATTACCGATGGGGCCGCCGACTTTCTGATACTGGCCTGCGATGGATTATGGGATCAGCTAACCCCAGAAGAAGCGACAACCATTGTCTACCAATATGTCTGCCAGAATGCCGACCAAAATACCGAAGAAATTGCCGAAAATATTTCCACATATTTATCGAAAGCGGCCAAAGATGACGGTTCCAGTGATAACATAACAACAATTGTCATATTTTTCAAAGATGTCGAACAATTGCGAGCCACACCATTCGAGCCGTTATCGCCGCGCGAAAAATTGGCCACTAATGGCGACGGTGGTCTGTATACGGGTAATGGATTTCAGTTTAACGATTCCCAATACGAACAGATGATTAAAAATAATGGTAACAACAATCCGTTTGATGGCATTAATGCAAATCTAGGCGACAGTGGTATCAGTTGGTCGACCAATAATTCGCAGGACATGAACACTGCCCGTATCGACGACTTTGATCTAACCGGCAGTACTACTACTGACTCGTTTGAAAACAATTTGAATAATAATAATAATTTTATTAATAATGAATTGTCTAATGGAGACCAACAACACCTGAACTCTGATCCCAACTCAAGCCTTAATATCAATCCGTTTACTACTAATACTAGTAATAATAGTAATACTATAACTCATGACGACTCCTACGCCCACTTGGATTTCAATGCCAATACTACTACTACTACTGCTATTGCAGACAAAGTTGACTTAGATTTGTTTGAAACTACTTCAGCCAACAATACTAATACTAATAATACTAATAATGACTTATTGTTATTATCGAGAAATGATGAGTCAAACAACAGCACCGCCACCAGTGGTCCAAACATTATTGGTTCGTCTACTGAGACATCGCAACAGCAATCGATGGCAGCGACGATTGTTAACAACTTGTCTGACATTGACTCCTCAGAGTCGTTCAGTATATCAAAGTTATCGGACATACTATCGTCAACGTTCGATACCATACCTGAGCCATCATCCACTGTAGGCAATCTAAATAGCAATCAATTACACGCCCTTTGTTCGACACCAATAGTAGTAACAACTGGCGATTCATTAGATCTGAGTTCAATAACTGGTGATCCAAATCTGACATTTGATTCGATGGTTCATTCTGTACAAGATTTGAACGACGATATACTAGTCGTCCAGTCATCCAATGAGTCTCGAGTCTCAACTAATAGTAGTAGCGATGACCAGAAATCAAACAACGAATCCAATAACAACAATAACAACATCAGTGGTGGTGGTGGTGTGGATCAAACAGATTTTATCAATCAATCCATTAAAACAGACTATTCGTTTGTGTCGGCTCAAGAGGAACAACAAGATTTGAGCACCAGTTTCGACAAAAGCGGTTACACGACTGCCTACGAACAGGATATTGAAAAATGTCTCGAAGAACTGGACCAAGAAGAAGAAGAAGAAGGAGACATAACTCCCGTACAGACGCCGGTCAAGTCGCCCGATGTTTCACCGACAGAATTAGATGATTTCGTAGTACTCGGCAATGATGGTGACGATGATAATGTTGTCGCTGATAATCACATTAATACCAACTTTAACAACAGCAATGATAGCAACAATCAGGACCTAAACGATGTCAGTTCGGGTGCCGAAAGTGTCGATTCGTTTATCTACGAAAAGATTAGTTCGGATATGCGTGCAATTACTAACCGAATTACCAATGATGCCGAAAATGAATACCATTATCAACAACAACAACAACAACAAGATATCGAATCATTTGATGCCGAGTTTGTTCAGCAACAACAACAACAACAAATCGGTGACAATAATAATAAACAGCAAGAATTTAATGATGAGTTGGTTACGGCTGCTGCTGCTGTTGATGCTGACAATGAGATAATGATCACCAAACAGGCTCTAATGGCTGAACATATGAGTCCAGAAGCTGATGAAGTTATTAGACAATTATCTGAGTCGGCGACGACTGAAGAGTTGACAAACGATTGGACACCGACTGAAGAGTCGACGAACGATAGGACACCGACTGAGGAAATACCACAAGAAATTGGCGCCAATGAAGCAATTTCTATGACCACCACTACTGAATCTATTTTACAAGAAGAAGCTGTTGTTGAAAATCTAGAAATTGATTCGGCGTTTGTCAATAAGTTAGAAGACATTAACACAATCGCTGTCGATGTAGAAGTCGAAGAAGACAACATAATACCTATACAGACACCGATTAAGTCGCCAATAGTTTCGCCACAAGAATTTGATAAAGTTATCGATGATTTTGATGATAATGATAACAACAATCAGACGGAAAACATACATAATGTCAGCTTTGGTACCGAAAGTGTCGAACCGTTTGATGCCGAGTTTGTTCAGCAACAACAACAACAACAACAAATTGGTGACAATAATAATAAACAAGAATTTAATGATGAGTTGGTTACTGCTGCCGATGTTGACGCTGACAATGAGATGATGATCACCAAACAGGCGCTAATGGCTGAACATATGAGTCCAGAAGAAGCTGATGAAGTTATTAGACAATTATCGGAGTCGACGACTGAAGAGTCGACGAACGATTGGACACCTACTGAGGAAATACCACAAGAAATTGGCGCTAATGAAGCAATTTCTGTGACCATCACTACTGAATCTATTTTACAAGAAGAAGCTGTTGTTGAAAATCTAGAAATTGATTCGGCGTTTGTCAATAAGTTAGAAGACATTAACACAATCGCTGTCGATGTAGAAGTCGAAGATGACAACATAACACCGATACAGACACCGATTAAGTCGCCAATAGTTTCGCCACAAGAATTTGATAAAGTTATCGACGATCAGACGGAAGACATACATAATGTCAGCTTTGGTACCGAAAGTGTCGAATCGTTTATTATTAATAATAACGAAAAGTCTACCGATAATAACCAGTCTGAAGATATCGGAACAGTTATCAATGACATTGAAAATGACTACCATTTTCATCAACAACAACAGGATATCAGTGGTGGTGGTTGTGGTGGTGTATTGGATGCCAAGTTTGATGAACAAGAAATTGGTGACAATAATTTGGTGGTGACTAAACAAGAATTCAATGTTGACGATGAAGACGAGTTGGCTTCTGCTTATAATGAGATGCGATTAGTCAAAGAGGCACTTAAGGCTGAAGAAGCGATAAAACAATTATCGGCGGCGACGGCTTCGACTGTAGAGGAGACGATTAAGACTTCGGCTGTGACTGATTTCATACAAGAATTTGGTGGTAACAGTGAAGAAGCAGCAATTTCTACGATCAATGAAGACAACAACATGTTTTTACAACAACAACAACAACAAGAAGAAGAATCTGTTGTTGAAAAGCAACCAGAGATCGATACTGTAGTTGAAGTAGTCGTTGACAACATATCATTACCGTCGTTACAGATGCCCGACATGTATACTATTACTACTACTACTACTACTGAAGTATCACCACAAGAATCTACTCCCAATGTTGAGCCACAAGAAGCTCCTGTTGTTGTTGTTGTTGATGATGTTGTCGTCGCTGAAAAACCAGAAATTGAAGCTATCATTAAAGCCGAAGACATCATTGTTCCACATATAGCTCCTGTAGTCGAAAAAGTAGCCAACAAAACATCTGCGGCGTCGGCGGCACCGGTAGCCAGCAAAACGGTACCATCATCGAAAGCACCAGTAGCTGGTTCTAAGCCATCGGCAAAAACCACTGCCACTTCTCGTACCGCCACCACATCCAGTCGTACCGCTACTACTACTGCTACCAGTAAAACGTCTACAAGTCGTCTGATGACAAATGGTACGAAACCTTCGGCCACAAGTACTACTACTACTACTAGCAGATCCACTTTGACGACTAATGCACAGAAATCTTCTAAACCGTTGACCACCGCTACGGCAAAGGCTGACCCGAAACCGGCTGCCAAACCATTGTCGTCGTCGACTACTAGATCTGCTGTCACATCAAAGGTTACGCCTGTTAATGGCACGCGAACTGCTGCTTCTAAACCAACTTCAGCAACAGCAACGACACGGCCAGCGACCACATCGACGAGTAGAGTTGGACTTAAAACGACACCGTCGACTACCGCTTCGGCTAAACCGACATCGGCGAAACCTACCACTACATCGACTGTTCAAAGTAGAGTTGGCCTTAAATCTGCCGCTGCAGCGCCTAAACCGGCTTCAGCGAGACCTACGACCACAACCACATCGACTAATCAAAGTACTGTTGGCCTCAAATCATCGGCGGCTGCAACCAAAGCTAGACCAGCTGTTGGCACAGTTACTCGCAAGCCGTTATCGACAACAACTACTGCGACCGCAAAGAGTACCACCACTGATAAGCCGGCCACCAAAGCGACGGCATCGGCTGCCACTCGAACTGGTAGTACAGCTGCGGCCGCAAGATTGACTTCCGCTAGTCGTCTCAACACTACAACTACTGGACGAACTGCTACATCGACTACAAGTAGAACTACCGGTTCGGCTACCGCTAGAACTACCAGTAGTACTCTCTCATCGACCAACAGATCTGCAACAACGACAACACACTCGAAAGTCGGAGTCAAGCCGTCACCGAAGTCAACCGCCACCACCACCACCACTGCGAACAACAAGCCAACAGCTGTTCCCAAGACAAATGGTCATTCGACTCCAACTGCTGTAACCCCCACCACCAACACCACCACTACTACTACCAAACCGGTTACGCCTAAACATACGAATCGTCTGAAAGTTGAAAACTCGTTGCAACAGGAGATGGAAGACGCCCTCAATTTGCAATCAAACGAAGCAAAAGTGATGTCTATGTCGATGACTATGACCACTACCGGTACTATCGGTACGACTCCCGCCGCCGACTCGGAGACCATCAACAACTTTTTGAACAGTTCGCAAACATTTGATTCATTGATAGCTCCAGTAGTCGTCAACAACAACAACAACAATATAAACACTGATTCTTCCGATGCAAACAATTGATTATTAAAAAAAAGAGTTTTTATATAAATATATATTTTTTTGTTTTTGATTTATTATTATTATTATAATTATTATTATTATTCTTATTAATTGATTATTCATTTATTTTATTATTATTATTATAATAATTAGTTATTATTATTATTATTAATTTTTCTTTTTTCTTATATAATTATAAATTACACATCAATTCTCTCTCTCTTTTTCTTTATTTTTGTTTTTATTTTATTTAATAATTATAATAATAATAATAATAATTAGTATATCACACACACACACACACACACACACACACACACACACAAACATATTATTTGAATGCATATAATTTTTATTTTCAAAAAAATTGTTTTAAAATATTTCAATTATAAGTTACGATTATTTTTGTTTTGTTTTGTTTGATTCAATATATTTTTGAATATTCTTTAGTGTAATAATTTATTTTTTAATCTCAAAAATAACTTAATTAATTAGGATTTAAATGATTTTCGGTACACATAAATCATATACACTGGTAATACCAAAGTATATCTTCTTTTTTTTATTAATAAGTGAATTACTGTATGTTTTTTTTTAAAAAATTATTTATAATCATTATTATTATTAGTAATTTGAGATTATCTATAATAATTGGTTAACAAAAACAATTGAATGAATGATTGAATTAATGAATTGTCTTATCAGTGTTTACTCTCATGAGAAACAAAAAAAACATAAAGATATGGTTATAGATATATATATCTATATATTATACCTATTTATATATATCATTTAAATAAGTAAAAAAACAAACAATTTATTTATAGCTATATATATATATTAATTAATTAATTACATAATGATTTTTATTTCTAGTCAGCCGATTAGTTTGCAAAGTGATAATAATAATTATATAAATATATATATATTTTTAAGATAATATATATATATTAATTAATTAATTAAGAAACTAATTGATTGAAATGGTTATTAAAAAAATTAATATAAGAGATAGGAGTGAGTAACTGTTTGCGTGGGAGGGGGTAAGGGGTAATGTGTGGTATATATATATATTGATGATTGAGTTATTAGGAAAATTTTCGGGGAATATTCCTTCCAGAAAATTATAAAAATCATATTTGTCTCAAACTAACACACACACAAAAAACTAATTGCTTTTTATGTATATCCAATTTGAGTGCCTTTTATTTATTTTTTATCTAAAATAATACACTTTAATTGATATATATATATATATATAATTATATTATATTTATTTAGTAAATATAAATTGTTTTATAAAGCATTTTCTATGTAATTATTATTATTACTATTATGGATATTATTAAGTGCTTCTACTACTACTACTACTACTACTAATTGTAGTATTTTTTCAATTAGTATACATACAAACAAACAAAAAAACATTTTTATTTTAAAAAAAATTGTTTGTTTTGTTAAACAGAGATTTTTTTTAATTAATTATATTAAATCATTTTTAATAATATTATATAAATAATTTTTTGTGGCTTAAAAAAATGTGTATACTTTTTAAATATTAAAAATGAATGAACAAATTTCTTAATATATATATATATATATATATTTATTATGATATATATATATAAAAATGTGAGATTTTTTTTGTTTAATTATTATTATTTTTAGTAATGCTTTATAAATTGAAATTATTATAATTATTTTTTTTTGAATTAATTAATTAATTAATCGATATGTGAGAAAAATTGTGGCCTTATTTTTTTGCTTTTAAAAAAAATTAGTATTAATTAAATGCTAATAATGTAAACGAAAATTTTTTATTTTAATGATAAACAAAACATTGATTTTCTTAACTAAACAAAAATATATGAAATTAATAATATATTTGAATGAAAAGTGAGAGAAATATTTTTTTTTAAAGAGAAAGAGAGTGAAAGAGAAAAATATTGTTTGTTTTTTTTGTGAAATAATTATTGTAAAGAAACTAATGGTTTGAATGATATATTTATAATTGAATAATACATTTGAAAAAAAAACATTTTATATTTAATTAATTAATTAAAAGTTGATTAAATAATTGCTACTTTTTATTAATAAATAAATATATTATATAATATTAAACTTTATATTTATATTATTATTATATTTTTAGGCATTTAACGGTTTTTTTCTCTTTAAAAAAAATTTTTAAATAAAATATACGCTTTATATTGATATTTAATTTTTAAAACTATATATAAATAAAATTTATTATTATAAAAAATACTATTGTAATTACTTGTAATTTTTAATTATTTAATTAATTAATTATTTTTTTGTCCATTATATAAATATATTTGTTTATTATTAATATTATTATTATTAACAATATATTATATAAATTGTATTCTATTGATAATAAAGTTATTTAAATAAATTAATAATAATAAAAATATACATCAAAAAAAAAATATAGTTTCAATTGTATTCAATATGTTTTTAATTTATATTTATTATATACAGTATATAAAGTTATGTTTTATTATATATTTTTTACGTTGATTTATAATGAGAGTAAATACTGTACTAATAATTTCATATCTCATATGATTTATTTGAAACAAATAGTTATTTAAAACAAAAAACAATCTCAAAATACTAAAACTAAATTACATTACAATTTTGTTGTGTGTGTTTCCATAAGCACTGGTAGGTATCATATTATACTGTATTATATACATATGTATATACTGTATATATGTACAGTATATATATTGGGTTAGTCGCGGGAGGATTATGTTATTAGGAGGCTCTTAACAAACAACAAAAAATATGATAATACATAATAATAATAATAATAATAATACAGTAATAATAGTTGATATCGGCTTTCATTATATATATACAAGTATACACACAGTATATATATATATAATGTATATATATAATGTACAATAAATCAGTCAATACTAATGTTTTAATCGGATTATAATATATATACTGTATATATATTGTATATTATGTTTGTAATGTTTTCAACTAAAAAAAAATTGTTTCAAAATTTTGTTTCAAAAAAATAAGTCATATCTAGTTTCACATACATTCAAAAAAAACATTCAAGAATTGAATCATTATTTTTTTCCCATTTATTATTTGGTTGTTTTAAAAWATATATATWTTTTTTTATTATTTACAAATAAATACTATACTAAACCATAAGTACCAGTACTTATCAAATATCTATAAGATATTAGTAATTATTATAAATGAGAGAAAAATGAAACAAACAAAAAATGTATAGAATTTTTCTTTACATAAAAAAATAACATTTTTTAGTAAATTTTTAGCATTTTTCTCTCATTTTTATAATCAATATATTTGCCGCTTAATTATAATAAGTTAGTAAATTTAGTATTAAAACTATTTAGAGAGAGAGAGAGAGAGAGAGAGAGAGAGAGAGAGAGAGAGAGAAAAATAATTACTATTAGTTTGTATTTAAAATGTAATATTTTATAAATTTATTTTTACATAATATTGAATGAATATTGTATTAAAAATATTATACACCATTAGGTAAGTATGAGCTCTCTCTCTCTCTCTCTCTCTCTCTCTCTCTCTCTCTCTCTCTCTCTCTTTCCCATAAAATTTTTTAGCATACATTCCTTGTAATGTACTTAATATATATATATATAATATATTTTTTTAAATATTTTATTTAAATGATTGAATTGCCATTCAATCATTATAGTTGTTAGTTTGGTATGTCATTGAATTGCACCAAAAAAAAAATATAAAATAAATATTTTAAAAAATAAATAAATTTGTGTCAATCGTTTGCTAAGAGATTCCTAATATATTAATACTACATAATTCTGGTCTAAATTTTTTTATTTCTCTCTCTCTCTCTCTCTCTCTCTCTCTCTCTCTCTCTCTCTAACTAAATAACTAACTAAATAAATACATTAGTTTCACATAACTATAACACACACACACATAACTAACGTTTTTGCATATTTGTGTGTATAATAAAGTGTATGTTAAATGCTTACAGGTATTAACATTTGGTGTGCAATCGCGTTAATACTACATCAAGTGGTTAAGGTATGCCATGCATTGCATACCTGTGTGCGCACAGGTATCTAAAAAAACATATATTACCACTGTATGAGTAATATAACAGGTCAGTAAAACACATTAATATTAAAATATATATTATGTATAAATTATATATATTGAATATTTAATAATATAATTTTTGTTTAAAATTGAATGCATCCTTGTTTAAGTGTTTAATCATAAAAAAAAATATTTTTGCATATATTATCAATCACTTTACTAACCCAACTGTTAATTATATGATTATCAATAATATAGTAATAATAATAATAATAATATAAAAACAACATAACTATTGCATGATAAGATTATACAGTTTATTATATATATATATATTCACCTATTTAAATAATATATATATATACATATGCATATATACAGTATATATATATATATATAAATAATTTTATAGATAATTCCCCCCTCAATATGTTTAATCTAGTTTAATCATATTTTTTTGAAAATATTTTTATATGCATGTTATTTGTATATCATTAGTCAACAACAAAAAATAATAATAATTAAAACATTTTAAAAGTAGAAAACATTTAAATAAATATTTAATAATAAAAACACTACAAAATACTAAATGCTATAATAGTATTTAATTATTATTGCAAAAATATTTTAGACATTTTTATATATATATATTGCGTATAAATTATATATTTATTTACTGTATATATTTTACTGGTATATATCGATAATAAACATTTAACATAAAATTTTTTTGTTGTTGTAATCACAGGTCATAGTCTTTATATTTTTTTTTTCAATGCGCTTATCTATCACTTATAAATTACTTAACATATTTGGTGACTTTATTTTGCTAAAAAAAAATATTTTAAAAAAAAACATAACCAATAACACAAAAAAAATATTCAGTATATGAAATATAATTTTGACCGTAATTTTATCAAAAAATAAATAATATATATATATAAAAATGCTATTTAAAATTATTTTGCTATTTAAAAATGCAAAAATATAAA